GTGGACCTCTCGTTCATGGAACGAATCGAGAGGGGATTTTGGCTTCGGTCCTAACTGTTTAAAGGTTTGACCAAATGGGTTTTGTGAGGGAAGATTGATCTAACGAAGTGATCGAATCTCATCTCAGCAAAAGAGTGTTCGAAAATCATAATAGGAGCTTAGTATTTATCATTCTGTCCATAATAATCGGGTTATCCCTAAGAATATTATATTTAACATTCTTCCAGGAACTTCCCATTACATGAATTATCGACCCCCAGCTTTCTTTGTAAAACTGGGTATAACGAGGAGTACGTTAACCTCAGTCATATGTTCGGGTTATCCTTAAGAATATAGGATTCTCCAGGAACTTCCCGTTAAGGAAAGGAAATAGTTTAGACTCATATACCTTTTGGAGTATCGAGGAGCAGTTTATACTCGTATACTTTTCGGAGTGAGGGGAAACAGTTTATACTCGTGTACCCAATGGAGTTATATGGTCGTCTTTACTCGACTTCTTTCGTCGTTATGACGCCGGAGTCAATTAGGGCTTGGATCTTATTTTTGAGTCCAAAGCAAATCTCAGTGGGATGAAGAACCCTTCTGTGGTACGCACAGTAATTTGGATCCATAATCATTTTAGCACCATCCTGATCTTTAATAGGTGGTAGCTCGATTTTGTCATTAGCGAGGAGGTATTCCAAGATGGCTGGAGCTTCATCATCTTCGAAAGAATATTCCTTTTGAAACCTCGGATCGAGAGTCGCATTCTCAATGATTGCAGATGTCATTGGTTGGCCTCTCTCAGCTTTCTTTCTTTTAAGAAAGTGCTCAGCTTGTTCACCCCGAGATTTTAACTCCTTCCAAGTTGTGGATGGCACGACCCCCAGAGCTTCCAGGACATCGATGGAGAGGTTATTGTGGCATGTTTGCAGGATGAACTCCTTCGTGATAGGATCTCTGCAATTCATTGCTTTGTTACGGAAACGTTTGACAAAGTTGTCAACTGACTCTCCGTCTTTTTGCTTCTCATCTAGAAGGGTTCCGATTGACACTTCGGCGTCATCATCAAAGAAGTTGCTGAGGAACAAACTTTCTATGTCATCCCAGCAATTGATACTCCCTGGCTTGAGCCGTCGATACCAATCGAAGGCGGGCCCACGAAGGGTGCCAACGAATGACCGGATCATTAAGGCCTCGTTTCCAGAGATTATGCCCAAATGAGACTTGAAATAAATCAAGTGCTGAATCGGCGAACTCTTCCCCTCAAACGGTGTAAAGTTAATCAGATTGAATTTGGTCGGGTATGGTATTGAATCCCATTCCCTCGGATAAGGGCATGGAATACCCGTCTTCTTAACTTCTTGAGCCGTCATCAAAGCATTGATTTTGTCTTCAAGCTTTTGCATTTTCTCGTTATCGTCTCTTTCTTCATTCGAAGGGCGTTGAGGAGAATGAGTTAGGCCACCCCTTTTGAGAGGTGCTATTGAACCACCCCCAATATCGTTATTGGGAGGATCCGTTAAACCACCCCCAGCGTTATTGCCATTGGGAGGTGTATCAGCCAAGATGACTTCATCCACTTCTGGATCACTGTCATCTACAACATTCCGAGTGTGGTGGCTGGATTCAAATCGCTGATTGGACTCAGGAGGTTGAGGCTGTTGAGTTAACAGTTCTCTCATTTGTTGGATAGCCAACTTCATTTCTGTCTTCACTTCAGCTCTAATTTCTTCACGTTGTTTGGCTAGAGCTTCCTGAAGTATTTGAGTGAACTGATCAGCAGTGATTGGGAATACTTCTCTGATTTGTCCTGTGCTAGATATTGTATCATCCGAAGCGATTGCAGAACAAGTGTCCGAGAGTTCATCCTCTGACGACATCCCTTCATGCATTCTCTTGATAGCTCCTGGTCGGAGTCGAGACTTCCGTCAGGCGATTCTTGAATTGACTTTTCTTTCTGGGGAAAAGTCGGGATTTGAGTCACTTGAATCCCGCTTAGACTTTCTTTTATCAGCCACGTTGATGGTGACTTCAGGGAATTCATCATCTTGGGCAGCTGATTTTCTTTTGGGGAAATGTCTCGGCTTAGGCTTCGATAATACAGAGATTTTTCGTGGGATGACTTCTCGTTTGAAACAGTCACATTCTGATAATGCTGTTTTAACGAGTCGCGCACAGGAACAACGAGAGTTTATCTCTCGAATAACTCTTTTTCGAAAATTATTCACAACCCCAACTTGATAATACGATTCATCGGTATGATTGCCAAAAAATCGTATCGTCTGTTGGCATGATCTCCCAGGTATGACGATATCATTTGGTGAATGCGTCTTCTTCTGGGGGTATAAAACCTTGTTGGCATTCTCAGGACAATTTATTTTTGTCTTTGAGCGATCCAAGGTTATGTTGGGAGTCGCACGTCTAAAACCACCCATTTGCGGGTATGGGGTCTTAACGGGCTCCGAATGCTGATTTTGCATAAGTCCAGACTTTGGAATCCAAACTTGACGAAGTTTTGGTCACCGTTTCCTTCCTCCTTTCTCGTCTTTGTTGTGAGAGAGCACGAATAAGAGCAGCGTTTGCACGACGTTTTCGTATACGCTCTTTGAGGGTTGAACGAGTCCTTTTGACAATAGTCCATTCCTCCGTTGTGAATTGTGCAGAAACGTGAGTAGTTTGTCTTTGCGTTGAACAAACCACTTGTTGTTTCCTCGACTCTAAATCCGCATAATAACGAACTCCGTCGGTTTGTTCAAATGCCTTAGCTATTTGACGAGCACGACGCTGACGCTGTCTCTGACGAGCTCTTTTCGTCAATGTCGGCGGGCTTTGATTCGATGACTCTTCAACTAGATGAGAGCCATTGTGAGCAGAGGTGTTGCGAGTGAAATTCTCAGCAACAATCAAGCGAGAGTCTTCATTTTGTGCCTTCTTTGGCATGCAACTCTTCCTCAATTGTGAGATCCTCTTGTACTTGCGAGATAATGAAGATCTTGAAGAGGATGATGAGAGATATTCCTCAAACTTGGTTTGGTCGAATTCGTATTCGACCATGGATTCAACTGGAATCTTGATCGGCTGCGACACGACGGTCTCGGCAGCGAGACCGTTGGCTCCCACTGTGGTCGCCAGCTTGTTTGCGTCAAAAGTTGGTTTTGTTATGGAATTCATTATATCTTCGGTCGATTACAATAAATTCAAAGAAAACAGCCTTTTTATAAGACTCTTTTACACAACAAAAAGAAAATTACAACTCTTGAGAAAATAAACGCAGGATCGTTGTTTGGATCACTGCTTTCGTGGGATCTTTGCCTGTGCCGGGAGCGCTTTGACTCGTGGACCACCAAATCACAGATTCTGATTGAACCGTGAGGGGTTTATGATTCTGACTTCGTTTATCGAAGTGAGAAATTGAAACGATATCTTATCGATGTAAGATAGTCGTTCTTCTTGAAATCAAGTCAAAGCCTGATTATCAAGGATTGGCCGTAAGATCAGCACCTCTGCTCTCTCTCTGCTCTGGATTGCTCTGAAGTGCTCAAAATGATCAACCCCCTCTCCTCTGGAAAACCCCCTTCTGAAAATGGCCTTCGGGGGTATTTATAACCCTCTGGATGAACAGTGCTCGCGAGACAGCATTTGCTGTCTCGGCGGGCGAGACAGTGTTTGCTGTCTCGCCCCGCGAGACAGTAAATACTGTCTCGGAAACAGTAACCGCAGGCAGTTTTCATTTTAACTGCCTTCCCACGTTTCAAACTCCGTTATTTTGGCAGTTATCCACGTGATTCTCGCCCACGACGTTTCCCACGTTCTTGAACAGTTAGTGGCCACGTGTAGGGCAGTTGCAAAGGTAGTTTTGACCATCTGAAAACTGTCTCACGTGCGAGACAGTAAATTCTGTCTCGCACGGCGAGACAGCAAAGACTGTCTCGCGTGGGCGAGACAGTAAAAGTCTGTCTCGCCCGCGAGACAGTAAAGACTGTCTCGCACGGCGAGACAGTAAAGACTGTCTCGCGCGGCGAGACAGTCAAGTCTGTCTCGCACGGCGAGACAGTCAAGACTTGTGTTCTTCTGCCTTTTTTGGATGATTCCCTCTTGAGCTGTATTTGGATATTTTTCAGCATTTTTTGACGCCTACACGGGGTGTACACTAGTCTATACTTATAGGAGAATCCAAAAGATCACTATGCATAGTATAGTAAAAAAACTACAGTAACTATTGTACCATGAACACTAAGTAGGTCGACCAGTCGCAACATTAAATTACTGTATCGTGAATAGTAAAATGGTCACGACCACTATAGTTTTACTGTAGCGTGAATAGTAGTGTCAATTATTGTACCAAGTACAGTAACAGCAAATATACTTTTGGGGTACCGTTTATGCTACAGTATTTTACTGTTTTATAAATAGTAAATCAAATCAAATGTATTAAAAGTTAGATCATCCTCTAAGTATAAAGGTGTAGATATGATTTCTAAATTAAATGTATTAAAACTTGGATACTCTTTTAAGTATAGAGAAATAGATATGATTTCTAATTTTAAATATATAATAATCAAATTATATATATTAAAACTTAGAGAAAGATAAGTTTAAAATACAATATTTAAAAAAATAGGGGGTCGAGCTTTGACCGAGGTGACTACCGGTTATAATAAACTAGCAGATGTATGTTTCTATCAAACTTTTCTATCTTTATGTTAACAATCCTATCACAGGAGTTTGAAGGCAAAATCTCACGGTATGCTTTCCACTAGGGGTGTGCACGGTTCGGTCCAAACCGAAAAAACCGACCGAACCGACCGAAAATTAACGGTTCGGTTCGGTTTTAGTTCTAAGTCGGTTCGGGTCGGGGTGAAAAATTTTCAACCCGAACCGCCCGAACCGACCGCTTATCTCTTACCCTAATTTTAACCCGTAACCCATACCTACCCGACCCGTTCTTCAATTCCTATAAAATCCCAAATCCTCTCCAACGTAACCCTAACTCTCCAATTCTTCTCCAACCTCCGCCGCTCCAACTCTTCTCCTGTTCTCCAACTTCAGCCTGCAGCCGCTGCCGCTCCAACTCTTCTTCTGTTCTCCAACCTCGGCCTTCTCCTGTTCTCCAACCTCAGCCAGCAGCATAACTTCAACTACATGGCCTGTGTGTAACCCATGGCCCATGAAAATGCATCCCGTGAAGCCCAGTCCGCTAGAATAAAAGGAACAGGAAAATCCAAGATCCAGAAATGAAAAGCAACGCAAATAACGACATCTCTCTCTAAAAGCTTTCCAAGCTCTGAACTTTCTCTCTCCTCGATCTCCGCCCATGGAGATGCCGTCGATCTCCTCCGCCCCTCGCACCGTCGAAGACATATTCAAGGACTACAGCGGCCGCCGCAACGGCATCGTCCGTGCCCTAACTAACGGTAACCAACATCAGATGCAGATCTCTTCTCCTTTCTTTCCTTTTTCAGTATTAAATCCCCGATTTCTAACCCTAGTCCCCAATTTCTTACTTCAGAGGTGGAGAAATTCTATGCTCTCTGCGATCCAGGTGAATTCTCCGTCTCTGCTGTCATATTTCGATGCAATAACTAGGTTTTTCTTTGATTGACTTGATTGTGGGTTATGCCAAAACATAACTTAAAAAATGGAATCTTTTGGTCTGATCTGTGATTGTTTGAAAGAATACCGACGGAATTGTGCGCTTAGATATTTCACTGATCGTCTTCATGAGATGCTGGGTTTAACAGCACCATTTGCAAATCCATGTGGCAGCGGTCGCTTGAGATTTCTTTAGGTATTTTGATTTTTTTTACTTGTGCAGTATATTTTGATTTTTTTACTTGTGCAGTATATTTGTACATTTGATTGTTATACTTGATGAAGTTAGAACCGAACAAACCGAACCGAACCGAACCGAACCGATTTGTAACGGTTCGGTTCGGTTTTGAATTGTAGACGGTTCGGTTTGGTTGTTCAAATTTTGGTAAAAACCGACCCGAACCGAACCGTGCACACCCCTACTTTCCACAGTTTTGCTCTGATCCGTCCAAAGTGGAAAATTTCATCTGGCCACTTCATTTAAATATTCTTTATTTTTGTCCCCCTCCTTTTTGCTAGTCTTTCAATTGTGTATTGTTGCCCTACATAGTGTTGCGAAATACTTTTTGTGGATCGTCACTGGCTTTTTCTTTGGCGCCCGCATGCGATCTACACTCCAGCTGGAGTTCCAGCTCGACCGCGCTGCGGATGTGAAACTTTATTTTGGCATTATTATCGCAACTACGGTGCACCACGTGCAAAGCATGACCCTCGGTTTTTTTAGCATATTTTAAACTTGTCTTCCTCTAAATTTTAATTCATTTGATTTGATCATTGTATGCTTAAAATAATTAAAATTATAATTAAAATTATATCTACTCCTTTATACTTAAAAAAGAATTTAAGTTTTGATATATTTGAATTAGAAATCATATATACTCCTCTATACGGATCCATGTTTTAATACATTTGATTTGTTTTACCATTTATGATACAATAAAATTGTAGCATGAATAATAACTTCAAATAGAGGAGCATGTTTGATTCACTGTTTATGATACAGTAAATTACTGAAGCATAAACAATACTCCAAATGTAGAGGGGCAAGTTTAATTTACTATTCATACTACAGTAGCATTTTCTGTAGAATGAACAATGATTCTTTGGATCCTCCTTTAAGCATAGAGAAGTAGATAAATAATAGTTAATCCATTTTACGGAATCAATATAAAGTTCTTTGCACAGATATTGTTTTTATGTAAAAATTCCCTATTAATTATCCACGTGGAGCCTACGGTCGAGACTGCTCAGTAAATGACTGCATGATTTCTACGTAGATTTCGTATACAGAGAAAATACTACTCTTGATTTCCCAATGGAGCAAAATCATAGAAGAAAAAGATTTTGCACCCCCCACCCTGTATACACCCCTTATAATTGCATGTATTTGCACGCTCCCTCAAATCTCAATATTTGCAAAACTACTTGAAATCATCAACCTTGAAAAAACATCTCCAACAAAAAATAAATGATCGACTTTAATAGGCTATAATTAATAGCTGCAATGTGAAAATATCAGCAAAGTAGTCAACCATTCATGCACCATGTCCATCAAAGTTAACGAGTTGAGGGCAGGTTACAGAGGTTTGGTGGGCAGTTTTTCAACTACACATGATTAACCGATTTCTAAATAACAATTAGCTTTGCTTAAGGACACACTTAGGGTCTGTTGTTGAGCCTCAGCAATCCATAAGCATATGAAATACACCTGATATAAAGGCTAGAAGTGAACCTTTTGTGGTTTATAATCAATAGAAGAATCTGTTATTGCAAATTTCACTCTTCATGAAATTTCGTTTCAGATTACGTGTAACGCACATACTCACAAAAGGACAAGAAAAAAAAAGTATTGTTTGGTTGATAAAAATCCGTGCTGCTGCATGTCCAAGCGGCAGATTTGAGCGTAATTTCCTGCATGCAATATCCGTTGTTCTTACAAATCCAGCATACCAAACAACCCCAAATTTGAATCTCTGTCTATTCAACTCTCAACATCCTCATCCACCTCCCACAACCCAACCGACCGAACAAAACAAACCGACGCAGCAACAACCACCGCGGCAAACAGAGGAGGAACAACAAGATCAAGCTTCGACTGCCCAAAAAACAGTGCAGGCAAGCACACCACCTCCATCGCCGGTCCATCCAAAGGCAATCTCACATAACCAGGCATGCATTCGCTTGCAAAAGGCGAGGGAAGAGATACCGCCACCGTGAATGCAACCTCGGGTGAGAAGGAAACCACAGCGACTGTTGATGTTATGAGCATCGTCCATGTTGTTATGTAGACGAGGAAAGGTTGGCGTTGGAGGAGGGAATCCCACTGGGCTGCAATAAAGGAGAGTGCCATCGGTTTGAGATTTTGAGTGGACAAGGAGAGATAGAGAGATGTATATATTAGTGTGGGGGTTTGACTAGTTGGAGGAGTAGAGGAGGTTTGAGAGAAGATTAGGTTTAACCTGAGGCACCAAATTCAGAAGAAGATGTGAACAACTCCTCTTGATGATGTGAGTTGACTGACGTAGACTAAGTTGGGATTAGTTGAGACCAGAGAATATGGGTCCTAGCTTTTACCTTGTGAAGGGACCCATATTATCCAGTATATTACTATTATGCATCCCAGTGTCAAACAAGTTTCGTAAAACACTATCCATAATTTGATAATAAAAGGTTGCATGTCTGATGTCTCTGAATTCAGGCCTAGGTCAACCCAGAAAGAAAAAAAAGATTAATTGCGGATAGAACCCCCCTAGTTCTATTGCAGTGGATAGACCCCTTGTACTACCGCCCAAGTGCCGATAGAACCACTGAGTGAATTTCTTTTTTATTCTTTTACCATCAAGAAGTCCATTTGTCAAAAGACAATTTTCTCGTTCTCTAGGGGTACACGAGTCAAAGGAATTAATTCAGGGGTCTATCTGCAATGATAGAACTACAGAGGGTGCATCCGCAGTTAGCCTAAAAATAGGAGAAGGGTACACCATAATACATGTAGAGCAGCATACGTTAAACTGGGCATTTGACTGCTAAATTTAACGCTCAACTATGAATATGAATTACAAGATCTAGATCCTACAAATTAAAAATATATATCTTCTATTAAAATTGTTACCCTTGCACACACCACTTGGCAATTTCCCCTTTTTTTAATTTCTTAAAAAAAATTAATTTCCTGTGTAACTGAGAACCACCTCCTCAGCATTTAACGTTATTACCCCTCTCTTCAATTCCCAATATTAGCCTTTCACCCACATCCATTTTCACCCACCTTCTCACACCTTCCATTAAAACTTCAGCTCTAATTAATTCACCCTAAATTCAATCGAAGATTTTTTTCTCCCCTTTCTTCAATTCCCAAGATCGCCTCTTCATGTTCGTCTCCTAGAGAAACCGTGCTCCGCCTCTTCGTCTCCATCGACCAAAGAATCTGTGCTCCACCTTGAGAACCCAATCGTCTTCGATTTTGAATATGATCAGAATTCGTGCTCCGCCTTGAGAACCCAAGCGTCGACCGACCTTAAGATGTTTATATATGGTAAGCCCTCAATGTTTCATCTTATTCATCCTCACCTCCACCATCTACATCGAAGATTTTCAAGGAAGGCTGCAGAGTTTGTTGGACTCATCATAGTTCAGGTTGAAAGGTATTGATTTACATCTTATACCCTTTCAATTATAATCCAATTAAAGGTATGATTTTATATTTTATATTTTCAGAGTTAATGTGGCATATATGTTTTCTTTTTTATGCTAGTAAATCTGAAAATATGAGTCAGTTAGAGATCTATAGTAATTTGTCTCCGGTTTTGTACCTGCTAACTCATAACCTGGTCAATTATATTTCTATGTTCCTCCAGTTTAGTACCTGCTAACTCTATATTCTACTGGGAAACCTTCATTATGAGTGTCACTAAAGCATAATTATGGTTTCACATTCTCAAAATTATGTGCAAATCATTTTTTAATAATGTTTATGATGTTTTACTAAGTTCGTTTAATAGTACTTGTGAAAATTTTGATACAACTCTTTAACCCTCAAACCTTTCAAATTTCTAGTCTTGCCTGTAAAATTTCTAAATAGTTAACATGTTTGTAATACGTTATTGATGATTTTGTACACCTAATATAAATAAATGTATTTATTCAACTTGATTTACTTCAATATGTTATAATTCATTCAAAGTTGAAAATGAGATGATATCTAATATTGCCCGTGGGTTCATTATTCAGCTATTTCCTAGATTTTTGGAATTTCTTTGATGTCCATATGCCTCAAATGATTTTTATCCTTAAATAGATGTCTCTTGGTTATTAAAAGAGAAACAACTCTTTGATGAGAAACAAAGGAATACTTAATAGTCCTACAAGGGAATGAGTATAAGGAACAGAACCAATTTAAGGGTCATATTTCAAAAGAAAATGGAGTAGTCATCTATATGAAAATTTTCCATTCTTTCTGACAATATATTGAAATAGGCAACAACTTGAAATTCACACTTAAGCAAAATCCTTCATGTGCACTTAGTTTAATTTTGGTTAATAATGGATGTTTAAATACATTTATCCTTTAAGAGCCTATGCTCTTATTTGTTTATGCACTTATTTGCTTATTTCTGGCAATAACATGTATTTCTCCAATGCTTATGCTCTTATTTGCTTATTTCAAGTTGTGCACATGAAGCATAAGTAACGCATGTATGTACTGAATGAATTTTAGCACTTATTTGCTTATGCTCTTATTTGTTTATTTCTGACAATAACATGTATTTCTCCAGTGCTTGTGCTTTTATTTGCTTATTTCAAGTTGTGCACATGAAGCATAAGTAACGCATATATGTACTGAATGAATTTTAGCACTGCATCACACAAGAGATGCTCGTTATGCATTCGTAGTAACTCTATGCATACGACAATGAGTTTGGTATATAAAGTTTTACTTTTGTTAGTAGTTATGAAGGTTTGTGCTTTCATTTGTTTTTGTTAGTGGTTATGAATAGACATAGCCAATTCTATAAATATAATAGCCAATTCTATATATTTTTCCTTTTGTTAGTAGTTATGAAGGATTGTTCTTTCGTTTGTTTGGTATATAAAGTTTTAAAAGATAATTACAAGGGAATGAGTATAAGGAACAATTTGTTTGGTATTCAAAGTCACCACTGTGGCACAAATCTTTTAAAAGTTTTACATAAATTCAGAGCTGTCATTCCTAAATGTATTATGTACAAGTTATGGGCTGAGTGATACAAAGTGACTCATAGTTGAAAAATACATTGCCAATAGTTTGCAGTTATCCAGGACAGGTTTATTAGTGTAAAAAATAGAATTCAATATCAGCAATTCCCAGTTATGATTGGCTAAAGAAAATTTATGGTGGGATTTGGACAATCAAAACACTCGGGAAAGTGAGGCTACACGCATGGATGACCATTATTTATTAATTTGGACCACCACATCAGCACGTCTAGCGTTGTGAATAGTTTTTCTGGTAAATGTATCAGAGTGGTTATGTCTATTCATAGGCAAACATGCACCGTCACCCCCACCCCAAAAAAACTACCACCCCCACCCCAAAAAAACTACCAATACCACCAAAAAATTCCAATTAGAGGTATGATTTTATATGTTTTAAGGTAAGTACTCTGATAAGAATGTTTCTGATGCTGAGAAATAAACATATGCATGTGGGACAAAAAGATATCTAGGGAGAAAACCTGGAAAAGCAGCATTAGTGACAAAAAGCCATGGGAATAGAATCATTGCCAGAAAAGAAAAAAAATGAGTACTTACATCATGGTACCCTGTGCGATGTCACAGTTACACGGTTGACCCTAGGATCTGTTTAACTACATTGATAACCTAAAGATTGCTGATTGGATTTATGCGGGTAACCTTGAGTAATCCAAAGATTACTTTCATTAAGGATTCATGCATAATTTCAGCCAGTAATCTCAGTGTTATCCTTGCAAATACACGAACCTTAGAGACACCCATGTGATTACATCACACCACATGGTATCAGTATGTAAATAATTCAGAAGGGAAGCGTTAATTAATATATTGAAGGAGGAAACTTACAAATTATAGTTAAAATCAACACTATTTCAATGAAGGGTAAGTGCAAGTTAGTTATACCAAGGTAAAATGAATTATCAACCTAAAATATCAAGGTCTAATATCAAAAGAAATATCAAAGTCTAATCCCAAAAACCATAGATTAATGAGAGAAGTAGCTAGGTTAATTAATCAAATTCACTGGGAAGATTATTGATCATAGGTTGTCATAGTTTTAACACTGTTTTGTTTTGCATTCTTTTGCTACATCAATTTATACATTCAACTATGTAGAAACTTGGAGCTGACCCTCCCCCATCTATGGTTCTAATCACAAATACTAGCATACATTTTTTCAATTTTTTAGTGATGGCGATTGTGAAATGAACAACAAGAAAAATAACATTAGCATTCTGGGGGAGGAATGGTCATCAAACTAGGCTCGCAGTCCCATATCGCAAACCAACAAAGCTAGAGTATATGACACATAAGTTGAAAAGAAATGAGACACAAGATGAACACATTTCAAACATGTGAAATATATTATTTAATATGGAAGTTCAAATGGAGCCTGAATTGAGTGAAAAAGAAAAAAATAGATGGACTGCTCAATTCCTTGCCGAATGAGTTTGGCTTTATTAAGCATAGATTGCTTAATAAGACTACTTTTGATGAGGTTGTTTACGAAATGAGACTTATTAACTTCGACTGAGATTTTAAGAGACTATGTAGACGCACTACAATCTTGTCCTTTGCACCAAACATCCGTAGTGTCCGAGCTGAGAATATGAGTGGAATACCTTGGTTTGGAAGAGTTCAAAAGAGATCTATTAAGAATGCCAACTACGAATAGTTGTTCGAATATCAATATTTATGAGAAATTGAGTGATTGTATGGAATCCATTTGCATACTTAAAACATTTGGCATTTCCTTCCTTACATTTATAATGTGTTATTGTAATTCGTTGATAAACATGAGATCTCTATGAATCGTTATGATTAAACTTAAATGATATGTCATGTTTACATGATCTTACTTGACATGACCTTTTTATATAAAACAGGAGCTGAAAATGTACGTGAGCGATATATTTTACACAAATATCAAATGGATTCATTTCTAGACTATATCACATATCTCAAACGAGTCTTAATTACATTGCAAAAAGAGAGCAAATCCTAAAAACAAGGTATTAAACTAACATCACAATATATGGTCTCAACCTAACCTCTCCAATGAGTCTTAATTGGAGAGGTTAGGTTGACGTCATATATTGTGATGTTAGTTTAATACCT